TGATTGGTTAGCTAGCCCAGTGTGTTGTAATTGGCTAAACCGCCTCTAGTGCGAGTCTAATCGTCCCGCCCCTCACCTCACCTCAGTGGCATGTGCTCCGGTTGTATTGTAAACAAGGCGTCGTTAATATCGCTTATCAGTTTGAGCCCGATTGAGAAGCAGAGGATATTATTGAAGAGGATCGTGCAGAACCTGTGCAAACATGGCTTTGAATGGTCGGCCTATGTTTTCGTTTGTTGTTGTCTCATACTTTTAGATACGCTGTTATTTGTAAATGGTACTGCTTATGTTAGCTTTTAATATACAGTTTTATCCTGATTAAAGCTTTAATACAGTACGGCAACTGCACGCGTGTCCATGTATAACGCTTCTCATAGCTATGTGAAAATAAGTGTATAATTGGAACAGTTCATTGCAGGAGCTCAGTTGAATGAGAGCGAGAGATGCAGAGTGTGTGCAGAGCAGGGGGACGTGAGGAACAGTATTAAGAACTGCTGCTTTAGAACATTGATTTTGAAACTTGTGAATCTATTAGAATTGTTAGAAGTCAGAATCGCAATTCATATATGAATAGATTTTTACGTGCCCCCCTAGTTTTCTCTTCCTCTTTTCTAAAGCAGCACAGCATGGCCTCGTCCCCTTTGGTTTGTGATGTCACGAACCCGGGAAGTAACTTGTTGTAGTCCCTACCAGCCGTTTTTGTAGGCATTGAACCGCCAGAATTTTAAAAGACAACATCTCCGTTTGCATTGAACTTTCAGCTTCGTAACTTTGCAGATATTGTTTATGCTCAAACAGCAACATTACACACCAACTAACGTTAAAAAAAGTGAAATCGCAATCAACCAACCACCCCTTTAATAAATAACAGATTTAGTATTTTCAGATGCTAAGCACATTTGCAATTACAAATATTTTGTTCTTTAACAGTTTTGTCTTAATGATTTTGTTATGAACTTCTAAACAACTTTACAAAGAAATCCTGTGATGCATAAGGGTTCAGAAGTCAGCTAAGAGAGTGGAAAGAAGTTACACTTACGTGCGGACACATTAATGCTCTTACTGTCAGAGCCCAAGACATTAGAGACCGTGCAGGACACAGTGAGATTGCCATTTGGAACGATAGTGAGGCTGTATGTGACTTTGCCATGCTCAGAAGCACTCTCAACCTGCAATTACAGCACGTAACAGCCATTAAATGACATCAGACTTACCACTGTATTCATGGCTATTATAATGTGGCAAAACAATGATATACTGAGTACAAGCTTTTTTGTAAAGGATCATAAGCACCACTAGAGAGCGCTATTGCTCTGTGCACAAGTAGATTATCTTGCAGAGGCATGTGCTTAGACAAAGAGACACAGGCAATGAGGTAATGCACTTCTGACAATAAATGAGTCACACTAACAGCTCAATTTGTACCAATACAAAACCACATGATACAGGAAGTACGTAAAAGCCTAATAATTTTTAATAGCTTCCTCTGTACACTCCCACTCAGGCACACTAGTCATCTTATGTGTTTGAATAGTGACCTCATCCTAGTGCTTAATGATATGGGTACAATAACTGCTTTGTTTAACAACCTACATGTATGTTGTCACAGTGAGAACATCTTTATCAGCTCAAATGTGCTGCTGGCTTGTTCGACATAAGAGTTTTACCCTTTCAGGTTCCTTTACTATTGAAAGCAACAATAAACCCTGGAAAGTGAATTGAAAAAGAGCCCAGATGCTCAGAAAAGCTATAATAAAAGCTTAACGGAAGGCTCGGTTTCAGGTTTTAGTTAAAAAAAAAAAGGTCCTTTGGTAATACATTTGGTTAATATATATAAAATACTTAATTTTAAGAAGTAAATCATATTAGTTCTCTTTTATCCCAGCATTACAATTCACTAGAGAACATAATTCCACTCCATTTAAAAAAAACAATAATGCCACTCCATTTTTTGAAAAAATAATGCCATTTTGCCTTGTCCCCTGGTGATATTCACTGAAAAGCATTAACACCTGGCAAATGGCCTGTAGTTTTTTTCATGAACATGAAAACAGGCAATTTATTAAGAAATATTCCAGGTGTTTCTTTATTTTTTCCAAACAAAACATGCTTTCTTGGGAATATCATTTTCATTGGTAAGAATTTAATCAGTTTTTCCTGTGTCCACAATTTCACTTTATATCCATTTAACTAACACAAGCCAGCTCCCTAGTGACATCATCATCATCATCATCCTCGTCCTTCTCCAGAAAGTCATTAGGTATGAGCATTGGCATGGATTTGATTAATTCTGTGATGTGTATTTTGTGGTGTATTAGGCGATCTGTCTAATTCTAAAACATTTCATTCTGTTTGATAAAACTATAGAAGTCCAAAATTACAAAAATATATAAATCACAATTTCAAAAACTGGTTAAAAATGCATCATTTGAAAACTAACCAAAAGAAACACTAGTGTTCAAAAGTGTGTGGTCGGTATTTATTCGTTTATTTTTTGGGAAAAATTAATTCAGCAAGAATGCATTACTTTGATCAAAAGTGACAATGACAAAAATGTATCAGTTTCTAAAAAAATATGAAGCAGCACAACTGTTTTCAACGATGATAAGAAAAGTTTCTTAAGCACTAAATCACCATACTAGAGTGATTTCTCAAAGATGACACTGGGGTAATGACTGCTTAAAATTCAGCTTTGCATCCCAGGAATAAAATACATTTTAAAAAATTTCAAAACAGAAAACAGTTATTTTTAATTGTATTTTTAATCAAATAAATGCAGCCTTGATGAGCATATAAAACCTTAAAAAAGGCACTGAAAAATCTTCATAATAAGAATGACGTGTAAGATCGTTCAGACTTACATTTGAGCCATTGACACTCCACTGTACTGTGGGTTTTGGAAAGCCTTCAGCCGCACATTTCAGGACCTTGGTCATGCCCTCACCACGCTCCTTGATCAGGTTCTTAATGACTGGAGAACCTGCAAAAACACTTATGCAATTAACTATCAAAAACGAAACCTATTCCTAAAGCATTTCTCTGATGTACAATGGTCTGGTCTTTTGGACTGTGCTCAACCGTAAAAACAGTTACTTTAATAAATCACATACGAAGAGCACTGCAAACTTACCTTCAACTACTAATTCAAATGTTTGTGTTTTCTTGAGGCCAGCCATGGAAACAATACATTCATATACGCCAGAGTCAGAGTACGTCAATTTGTCAAACTTGGGCAGGCTATTCAGCTTGGCATTGCCCTAAAAGAGAGTTTCAGCATTTTAATAACCAGAAATTAACAAAAGGTTCCATTTTTAATGGGATGAGTAGTCATTTTTTTGAGAGGCATTTATTTTCTACCTTCTTCCAAGAAGTTTGTGGTGTTCCTGAAGCTTTAACATCTACAGTCATCTCAAGGCTCTCACCAAGTTTCTTAACAATTTTACCAGTGCTGCTAAGGACCACATCAAGATCTTTGAGGAACGAAATAGAGAGATGTTAGTCAATCCTAAAGTGGTCAAACATCAGACTGCATCTGAAGTATTTCCTTACATTCAACTGTGATGGGTACAGAAGCCACAATATCCTCATTGTCCACTAGTGAGCATTTGTATTCTCCAGTGTTCTCCCGGGTGACGTTGGTCAAGGTGTACGTGCTGGAGTCCACAGTCTTTTCCTCTCCCTACAGATACAAAAGGTGGTTTAAGTAGAAAAGCAGCCTTCAATTTTCTGACTTCTGCTAAAGGAACGGAGAGCCAAGTGAGTTGCAGAGCAGACTTACGTTGATGTAGAAGTTGTAGCTAGAGGGTGGAGGGTTTCCGTCTGCTGTGCATTTGAGGGTCACGTTGTCTCCTTCCTTAAAAGGACCCTGGGACACCACTTGGAGATTGACCTTCTCGGTAGGGTCTGTGGAGAAAGGGTGTGTGTAAAGCAAGGTGGGCAAGCCCTGCCAGAGCCCATGCAGATAAGGGCACTTCAGAAAAGCTCCTGAGCCAGAAGAGGCCCTTCAGCTCAAGAGTTGAGGCTTTGAGAGTGCTCTCGTGGTGAGAAATGCTTTTGAGAGATAGCAGTGGGGCTAGTACCTTCACTATAACAGCCAGAGGCAAGGCAAGACAAAACCCCATTCAACATCTAAACGCCCTGCTCCAGCAAGGCCAAATTACATATCTTATTTGGACGAAATTCAACGAGCCATTTGATTCTGACAAGGCCTCTTTCTCATGGCTACTTCAGATGGAAAGCGAGTTATTCTGAATAATCCTGTGAATTATGCTCAACATTAGACCATTAACCACTTCAGTTTTGAATGCATTTGCTCTTAATGACATTGTTTGGAACTGAATTATGGAAGAAAATGTAGGAGCATTAAGATTAAAAACTTGCTAAAATGGACCATATAGGAATAATATTATCCAAAGACTTTGTATAGGCAGCATAAGAAAAACTTACAGTTCACAGTGAAGACAAGAGGAGAGGAATCCATGTTAGCAGACTTGATGTGTTGAACCTGACAAGTGAACTTGGCATCAATGTCTCCCTTCACTGCTGTATACTCCAGGGTAGAAGTTGTCGTGGACAGTCCTGTCTCTTCATCAACATCCACATTTGTGGTGATTTTAATGGCTGTAATCAACAAAAAAAAAGAAAAACATTAATAAAGACAAACAAAATATAGTACCAAACAATAAAAAGCTCTTTGATCATTTGAAACTAACTCTCATGCTGCAAACCCATATGACTTTCTTTTCTCATTGGAACACAGATGGAGAACATCAGAAGTTCTGAACCACTTTTATGATATTAATATGGTGCTTTTTCATCTTTTTTGAAGTTTTAAAGCTTCATTACCATTTACTGTAATTGCATGGAAAAGAGCACTGAAAACAGTCTTCAAATGTTCTCCTTTTTGTGCCATACAGGTTTGGAATTAAATGAGAGCAAGTAAATCTTGGCAAATATTTGAGTGAATAACTAATTTCCACCATATTTCACTCTACCTGCTCCATCAGTCACAAGAGGAGTTTTGTTCTTGAACCATGTGATGTTGGCAGCTGGATTGGCACCTTCAGAACGACACTTGCCCAACTGATGAGACAAAAATCAAAACACTATACAGTTACGAAAAAGAAAATTGAATATTAATGCAAATATTAAAGGGGTCATATGATGCTATTTTAAAGATCATTATTTTGTGTATTTCGTATAACAGAATATGTTGACATGCTTTAATGTTCAAAAAACACATTATTTTTCTAATACTGTACATTATTGTAGGTCCTCTATGCCCCGCCTCTCTCAAACACGTCGTTTTCAACAAAGCCCCTTCCTTTGACAAGCGCAGTCTGCTCTGATTGGCCAGCTGACCCAGTGCATTGTGATTGGCCGAACACCACAAGCACACGTCAATGTAACGCCCCTTACCATAATCGCGAGCTTCAGCTTTCAAAGTAAATATCAAGGCAGTTAATAATGTCGTTAGTTTTACCATCAGTTCAAGCCCGAAAGGGCAACAGAGTCGCGTGACAGACACAGTGATGATGCAGTACACAAGCCGCGGTTAAGACAGCTGACGT